TTGGAATTATACTCGTGACATCCCTACTGTGAAAGAGGAGTTTAGAGCTGTGGAAGACGTGTCTCGGATCGGAGTTTCCATTGGGGCGCAGGGAATACCAAAGCAGGACGGCGCCGATCTCCGGCTGGACCTTGAGGCCCTTCTCACAGCTGTGCATGTCCTCCCCGGGGAATCATGTACCCTCAAACAAGCAGCACGTTGCTGGGCTACATCCCGGCGGTGCAGACCACTTCCATGGACCCCAGAGTATAAGGCAGCCATGATGTCCGTCTGCACTGCTTAAAGTCTTTTCTGAGTGCCTCTGGCTGTGGCAGAGCGTGTGCCCGCGGAAAGAGCGTCTCCCCACCCTGACTGACCTTGGCACGGTACATACAACTAGTTCAAGACCACGCGAGACGGCTCGCTACAGCGTTACACTGTTGTCTGAACGGACTCGAAGAAGTGACCAGGCGACATTGGTCAGGTACCAGAAGACGGTAAGCAGGCGATTCCGGTGCCCCTTGTCGATGTAATCCTAGGATCGAGAGAAACGGGGGGGGGGGCAAGGAAGAGTTTCACGAAGCGAGGCCTCATCACAATACCGCTGGAGCTGTACCTCTATACACTGGGATACTGAATCATGACAAACCCTACGACTTGCACTCTCAGTCCACTTTGGACTGCTGACATCTGTCTACCTGCACGTATATGTGTACATATGTATATATATATATATACATATGTATACATATATATATATATAGATGTGTGTGTCATGATTTAGGTATCCTCTTTAGCAGCATGCAGTCACGCTCTTGCGAAAGGAGCCAACATCCGAGCTTCGACACTGTTTTGGTAGTACTGGGGGTCGAAGTTGTCAGTGTGGGCGGCGTAGAACTCACCCAGCCGGTATCTCAAGATCTGGACCTGTTTACGATGTTGTTCCCTCCTTCAGGGTTGTTGGGCGGCGGCTTGTGGTAACAGCTTCATTTCTGTATGTTGCGGCATCGGGGATTGCGCGCATCATGGGCTATCTGCATAAGGACAGAAATGAGGCTGGCGCGGAAGGTCGAGAAAACCACTGGACAGAGAGAGTGAGAGAGATAGGAGCAAAGAGTGCTCCAATGCGTAAACACGGCTGTAATAGAGAGGAAATCTTTGTTAGTTTGGCTTAAACCCGGAACTCTTCCTCCCGCGGCTTTATGCCATTCTGCCAACCCCACATTACGCAGGCGGAACCTCCTCGTTGTGGTGCACCGGCACACGCGTCAGGTTGCTGATGCGATGGTCCAACTCGGTGAGCCTAAGAACACCAGAAAGCAACCCAAGAATCCGCGAGGTAGGCTCACGGTGTGAAGAAGAAAATACACACAGAGGCGAGGGCCGAACTCCCCTGCTTCTTCAGCACACTCCCATCCGCTAGCCTGGAACATCCGAAAGCCCAAACCTGTTTCAAGCCCAAGGAGCAGCAGGCTTTCGCTGCTCTCCAAGCGGGCTTGGGTGCTGGTCCGAAACTCTTTCGTGGCCTCCGATGGAACGCTGGTTAGTCTGCTCGATCTTCTGTTGAGTTTAAGAGGCTTCGACCACCAGGTGGTTGAATGCTAAGAGGGGCTGTCGCGGTAAAGGCCTAACTCGGGACCTCCAAAACCCTTGTCGGAGTCCTTGCCCCGGTGGTGCGTGTCCATGGGCACGATGGGCGACTCCGACATGTTGGCCTCCGGGCTCAAAATCAGAATTGTGAAGGCTGGGAATCCCTGAACCCAAAACCGCCTCAGACATGTAGGCAGCAGCTTAAACAGAATTGCGCGACGAAGCACCGAAGCACATGGAAGCTACGGCCGCTAGATGGGTAACAAAGTGGCAGCAAAGCCGAAGGAGAGCAGGTCCAGACTAACTCTGGCCTCTCCCATGGCAATGATGGTCTGGCATTCCTCGAGTCTGTCTCTTCGATAGCTGCTCAGATGAGGTTCTTGGTTCGAAGCGTCGTCTCTTGGGTCTACAGTGTCCCACCACCACGGGTGCAAGTGGCGCATTGAGATCAGACAGAGCCCGGAGACCCAGGAGATGAGCCCAAAGCCGCCAAAAAAGAACGGGCCCCTGCGGGAACCTCCTCCTGCAGGAAGCCGCGCACCAGGAAGACCACGGGCTGTACGGACACCGTCTTCAGCCTTCGTCGAGCCGAGCTCTCGGCGGCTCTCTGGGCTCACGGTGGCTTGAGATGTGGCGGCCGTGGCGGAGTTTTCAACAGGTAGGGCTTTCTCAAGTTTGCCCGCGGCTACATGCGCCCGCAAGCATTGCCTTGAGACATCTTGAGGCCGTACATGGGTCGAGTGCTTTCACAAGCAAAGGAAGGGAACTCCGAGCTACAGGCTCAGGCTGGCACAGATCGCAAATCCACCAGCGGAGAGAGAGGTCTTGAGACTTTGGCATCGATCTTGCCTACAGCCCCTGCGATTGATGTTCTTCAGAGCAACACTCGAATCCCCGAATTGCAGCAAAGTGTCTCGTAGGTCGTGCCGGGAAGCGCTCGCACGTAACCTGAGGCTCCGGCAACTCAACTTTGCCCTCGGTGCTCCCACAAGAAGGGCAAGCTAAAAAATAGATGTTGTTGCATTACCCGATTTGGGAGTGTCCTAATATAGTACCCTAAATAGTAGGACCCCACTCCCGTTATACTCCCCGTTCCGGCCCGGAAATCAAAGTGCAGAGCCAGGCGCCGACTCGCACTGGAGGCCAAAACCTGAGAAGCCGCGGGGAAGGGCCTCTGAAGCTTTCGAGTCGTACTCGGAGGCCGGTTGGGGGGGCTTAGGGCCTAGGGGCTCTGCCCCGACGTCGAAGACCAGTCCAGGGCTGCATGACAACCGACATGACAGGGGCTGTAAACTACCTAGAAGAGGCTTTCAGATGATACAGTGCATTCTCATTAGGAGCCCTACAGAGCATGACAGTGGCCAATACAGGTCGAGGCGCCATTGCCCGCCTTCGAAGAGGAGCACGAGCTGGGCATCCAGAACCTCTCCCACACACAGTTCCGACTCTCATTTAAGCAGAAGATCCACAGAGTCTTCAAAATCAGGACATCCGTGCAGAGAGAGGGCTTCGGCGGTCGAGGCCAGTCGACGTCCGCCCGGCTCGAAGAGACCGAAGGGCTGCTTCAGGTGGAAGTTCCCCCACTCGTTGGTGGCCTCAAAGGATTTCTCAACGGGTTCTGGGAAGCAGGAGAGGTGGGCTGGGCTTGCGGAGCGAGTCGCTGCAATCATGCGGAATGAAGACTCCGAACCCAGAAGCTCCCAGAAAGATCCCGCCGCAGCAAAATGCAGGCCAAACCGTCGGTCCTTCGTGACGTGAAGCAGATATTGCAGGTGCTTCCGGAAGGCTCCCCAGTCCGCATCGACCACCTGGGCATGCAGGCTCCGAAAGCGTCAGTGGCATCTTGGTCTCAACTCGAACCTCACTCAAAGCTTGAACTCCACACCCAGCTTCCCGAACTACTAACGCTTCCAGCAAGGCCACGTCTGGAGGGAGCTCGGACAGAAACGGGTTCTCCTCGTCGGACAGAGCCGTATCGTAGGGCGGAAGGACTTGTTGTGCGAGTGGCTGCGTGTCCCAGTACACTCGCGTATCTCGTTTCTAGTAGCTTGATTTGAGCAGTAATTAGCACCACTCCACGCATCCCACCTTCAGCTGTGAGGGCAGTTTCTACCAGCAGCCGCAGCACAGTTGAAGCTGCAGACTAGGCTCCAAGATCAATCAGCAAAACCCTCTTGAATATCCTCGTATCGGCGCTCCTCTCTGACACCATTGAGCTGCGCTTCAAGGAACACTGCGCCATCCTGCCGACGCTGCGGATTTAACTCTGCCGAAAACTTTAGCCTCAGTGTTGTCGATCATCTATACATTGGGTTAGGCCTCTCGCAGCACCACCCCCTTGACCTTGATCCGACAGCTTGAAACCACAACTGTCAACAACCCCATATCGTGCATTCTGTCGCCGGCTACCTCCTTCTCGCGCCAGAGGCACAGCACGTGCAAGCCCTGCGAGGATGAGAGGTATCTCTCGTAATCGAACCGAGGCCAGCAATTTGAAGGCTAATTCAGTTTTTGCCGCTGTAGCCCGAGCTGACTACTCATAACTTAGATAAACCTGTAGGATTCGCCTCTGTGTCAGTACATCCTGGGTTTGAGGCAAACAAGCCCGATACTGTTGCCAACTTCCCCCCTCGTTTCTCCTTTTGTATGAGAAAGCCAAAGACCCTGGTTGCACTGTCGACGTCTTGTCGCCTGAAGATAGCGAGGCTCATCCATGCGCTCGAACTGCTCTCTCTCAGTGAGCCAGTCGGCATATCCTCAGCCAGAGGCACAGAGTAAGGCCATCGAGTGATCGCGCACAGCCAGACGAGCTGTTGAGGGCTAGGACTGCAATCATTGTAGCTACAGTCGTCCTGCGAAGACTCGGCCGTAGGCAATCACGATTCTCACCACTGTGCAACTGTCGTTACACCCTTAAACTTGTTGGGGACGCTGTAGACCGGGCCGGGCATCTCTCGTCGCATGGGCTTACGGAGCCCGATGCTCTGCGCACCAGGAGCCACGTCAGAAGCGAAGCAAAGAAAGGGGAAGCAGCCATGGCTCAGGGGACACCCCCAAAGTCCCTGAGGTTCCTTGGCTTCTTTTGGTGTGGGTTTGCTTTGGGTCATGGCTTTTCAAGGCAACTGTGTCGGCTGGGTTGTCCCTTCCACGGCGACGGTCTGGAGTTTTGCCCGCATCAGTGTAGGCGGCAAACTTAGAGGGGGTTGTCTAGTTCCAGGGTTCTTCAGGTGCGAACGAACACGCCTTCGAGAGGCAAGCTGCAGCAGGCAGCCCCCAACCCTACAATTACAAACACCTTGGCCTTTGTGACGTATAGAAGCTATTCAATCAGCTTAGCCCCAGCAACCCAAGAGCTACGGCTGTGGCTCTTCGACTAAGGCTGGCCCTTCGGATTAAAATTCTCTCTGCTCTTTTGTGGACGAGGCCCCGGCGAAGAGCTGGCGCAACCTGTCGCCCATCTCAGCTGCGCCTCTCCGCAACTCCTCCATGCCGTGCCAAGCCGCGAAGTTCGCTGGATGCAGGTGGTCTACTCCGTATATGCCACGCTGAGACATGCACAGCTTCTACACGGTCGCCCAGTCTGCGGGCTCAGGTATAGGTATGGGTTTCGTGGGCTCCCGAAGCAAGGCCCTCCCGAAATAACCCTGCAGCACAATAACCGGATGATGCGATCCTGCGCAAAGTGCGCCATGGGATTCGGAGCTTGCCATTGTGGCTTCCGGTGGCCTCGTGGCTGGGGATTGTGCCTTCTGGGCCTTGGAGACTCACACCACGTCATGAGAAGCGGAGCCCATGCAGGTCCTCACTATGTGTGTGTGTGTGTGGGTGTGTACATGGTTATACACGCGTAAGTATGTACATGAAGACACATATAAATATATATAAATACGAAAATATATGTATGTACGTATGTATGTATGTATATATATATATATATATATGTATATATACATGCATGCATGCATACATGCACGCATGCGTGCAAGTAGCTTTTGATACTTTCATAGGAAGAGGTAGAGAGGTAGTTCTGTTACGTTTTGTAATTATGTTTCTGTAACTAGCGGCATGGAACGTCTGAAAGCGGTTTCTGCGAGTGAAACAAAGCTTCTGATTCATGTGCCAAGCCAAGGCTCAAGATACGCTCCCACTGATCCTGGCACAGATGGGAGGCGATTTCGGAAGCTTCCAGCAAAGCTTCAGAGGCATTCTGCCTAAACTCCGTCACCGACCGAGGTCACCAACCCTGGCATATGCCAACAGCAGAGGTTTAAAAGTAACATGGCAGCTAAGCCCAAGACATGCAAACCCTTGACCAAAAGCTTTCCTAAACCCAGCAATGCAGCCAAGCAGCAGTGAACGCATGAGCGCACATACCCGCAACTACCAAGTGCATGCATTCGGCGTCATCTGTATGCAGGTGGCCGATATCTGTACGCACTACATTTCCGATGTCAAGCTGCACTCAGTGTGCCAGCGTAAGTCTGTGGAACGACTTAATAAGCCCACTTGGATTCCTCCTCGAGGCTCGCCGACGGTTCCGCCGAAGGCCGAGCGCAGTACCCAGCAGCGCGGCCGCACGCACGGGCGCGGTGCAAAGGGCGTAACCTTGGTGGGGCCTACAGGGGCGGCAGGGATGCTCCGGGTGCACTGGAGTCTCGGTGGAGTCGGTCCGATCGGAGTCTCCGTCAGCTACATCGGCACTCTGCGAGCTGCCCAGCAGCTGCAAGGCCAGATGACCTGTCTGCGACTCATCCGGGAAGGGTCCATCATTTTAGGGATGCAACTCCATGGCTCTGGAAAGCTCCACGGAGACATGTTCAAGGCAGTCATGGAAGGTCTGTCTTTGTGCAGAAGAAGCTCAAGAGTGAAAATGCGGTACAAGGGTAAGTCATGGTAACTCTGCTCTCGATTCGCTCCATCCGAGAGTACGCGAGAGCGAAGGGCCCCGAAGACCAAGAGATCAACCCGAAGCTAACCATTGATGGGACCTATACTGGACTGAATGTGATTTCTCGAGTCGTCTAGGAAGGAGCAGCCGTGCCCATTTCGTGAAACCCGGCCTGCCTACCTGAAAGGTCCCTTTCCCACCCTTTTTCGGCCTCGTTGGCGACCTTCCAAGTGTTTCGCAGGATGCCCGGGCGGACCGGGGCGGCTGAGGAGGGATGGCCGACGACGGCCGTAGTGGGTGCAGCCTCGCTTTCCGCTGCATGGAACTGAAAACCCCTCTGGCCACACTCCATAACATCAAGTGCCGGACTGGAACTGTCTACTCCGAAATCTGCAACACCATGCAGCACCCAAAACTTGGAACCATCACGCAGGAAGTACCCCCAAACCCAATGAACCCTAGATCCTCAGTTTGAGGTTTAATGGCTTCCCAAGCTGCACGCGGCGGAGCAGCTGGCAGCATTCTCCGAAAGTCCAAAGAGGCGGCGCACTGTGGGTGGAGCGATTGCAGCAAATCCAAATGGCTGCAGCACACAGCAAGCCATCGGGGCCTGACTGATTAAACCCTCTGGACGCAGCGATGTGTAAAATCCATCAATTCGAGCGTCGACCATTGTCCGGTCGTTTGGCTAGTAGTCGTGATCAGCTGGGATTGGTATTGGTATCTCCCCTAACCGCTGACACCGCCACATCTACTGATATCAAAGTCAGACATGGAATCCTTTAACAACTGATCCCCACCTGCTAGGGGGATCCCAGCCAATCTCCTATAACCCCGGAGAATCCACTTGAAAGGCTCTGACTCTCCAATCCTTCGTCAATCCTTCCAGGGCTCCTGCTGCTGCCGCACCTCGGGGCTGCCCCGCCTCTCCTGGGTGCATCGGTCTGGTCAAAGTGGGCTTAACTTCAGGGCGCGCTCGGCCAGGAGAGACAGAGCAGGAGGGAGCGAGAGAGGGGGAGAGGGAGAGCGACAGGGAGAGGGGCTGTTCTAGAGGCTAAGGGTTTCTAGAAGGGCTACTGTAAAGGGTTTTGATAAAGGGGGCTCTAACAATTACAGGGCTTCGATCTTGAATTCCAGCCATTCGGTGCCTCGGGGCCTGGTATCCTTTGCTTGCATCTTCGATTTGCGCGAAGACTACTTCGCCTTACCATGCACACACACACACACACATGCGTGCGTGCCGATCTGTCTATCTGTCTATCTATCTCTCTGTCTGTATGGATGTATGCCTGCATGTGTATATACACACATATGTGTATATATGGTCACGCGCTCCGAACCCCCCCCCCCTCCCCCCCCCAAAGGTCAATGGTCCGGATATAGGGTGGGGCCCCCATATATATTTTTGCGGTAGAGGTCACAAGTTCTTCATGGAGCAGGGTTCACGAGCGTGACAGGACCTCGGTTTTTGAGGCCGATACTCATGATCGCCAGTGCCTTTTTCAAGCGTTGCAGAGTCGTCAGAACTCGAGGGCAAGAAGGGCCGAGTCCGCCATCTCTTGGAGGAGGCCGGGCACAGAACCCGAGCTGGTGCCTTCCACCTGACGTCAAAGCTCTTCTCTTCCACGGAACATGGTTCAGACACTGGGCTCCGGCTCGTTCCGGCTGGCTAAGGCTATCTGCACTGCGAGCCGAGCTGCAGCCAGCAGCGTCGCACTGTAGCCGATGGCATCAGCTTGGTAGCCCACAGCGGGGAGTTGCTGCAAAATTGCGAGGGCATGCTGCCAGGCTGCAGCATTCCCGCAAGCCACCGAGGCTGAGTTGTACCTGGGCTGGGGCCATGCAGAGAAGCATTGCTTCAGCCGACGAAAGCTTCCACAACTAGAAATCCGTTCCTGGTGCTTCGGGTCGCAGGGCGAGGCCGACAGGCGCGTCTCTGAAAGCGCATGCCTGAGTCAGATGCACCCTCGGGCCCCGGGCTCCCACCGGGTTTGGACTTCCTACCGGGCCTGAGAGAGCAGCGACAAGACCTCCTCCCACAAGGCAGTAGTTGCACAGGCCGCCATGGCGGACAAGAGGCCCAGGGACGAGACCCGGACACCGAACAGAGTCCTGAGGTCGGAGAAGTGCACAGCACTGGCACGATATTACTGGCAACATTCCATTCTAGGGGGGAGTCGTGATTAACAAGCTCCTGAAAACTTTCGTCAAACTTAGACTTTCAGATTGACGTGATACCATCTCAGGTCTCTGCGGGTTCTGTTCATGCCTGTCGGTTTTGAACTTGGCCTCTGAGCAGCCTGTGAATGTGTGGTGTCACCCGACTGCCCAAAATTTGGATACAAGCAAACCCGAAAATCACAAGGATTCACGACAAGTGTCATATGCCTCAACAATGAGAGCATCAGCATCCAGTCTCCTGCCTGGCAACAAGCTCCAAGGGAGGCATTGCAACTGACGCTGTCCTGCCGCAGGTGGCAAATCCTCACGTGCCAAAGAAATCAGGCGTGCACAACATCGGATGCCAGAGTATGCTAGAGACAAGGGCCTGGGCCCTGTGTATGTTAGGCCCGAGTCTCAGCCGAAGTCCTACAGGCCGAACAATCTGCCTTTGGCCACCAAGGATCGGCAAATGTCCAGATAGATCCAAGGCCTCACGCCACTTCGCCACGCTGCCACAGGCACTGATCGCGGAGTTGACGGATGTTACATCCAGTCGCAGGCATCTCCTCATGCTATCTGCCAAAACCCGAGAAAACAACCTTCCTCCAGCTTCAACCCTCTTCGTACAAGTTGTGAAAACCCACGAGAAGAAGAGCGAGACAGAGAGACAGAGAGAGAGAGAGAGAGAGAGAGATTGCGAGAGAGGAGGAAACACCGGCCCGGTACCTGCACAAAAAATCCCGCAGCAGCACTGCTTGAAGCCACTGCCCGCCACGATGCGCGGCAGAAATAACGTTGCTGCAGCTCACGATGTCTAATTCTATCTTCTCAGTGGCCATGCCTGTCAACCCGTCCGTGGCACCTTGCCAGCGACTGATTCTGCCTTGCGCCGAAATCGCAGCAGTGTGCGCGATGACATCATTTTGCAACGAGTTGGCTTGAAAAAGTTGAAAAAAGTGAACTGCAAGCTTCCAGAGCGCAGCATCTGCACAGGCACTGAGTAAGGTGTTTAGCGTGGTCACATCGGGCGGAAGGTGGACTCTGGCGAGATCGGAAAAAAGCCCCATGCCCAACTGCCAGTGCCCAGCTTTCGAGCAGGCACTGATGGCAGTGTTGTAGCTGATAACGTCTGCTAACCGGCCATGCTGCAATTCAGACAGAATGCAAAGGCCTGCCTGCCATCTGGCAGCCCTCTCACAAGCACTGATGGCTGCGTTGCAGGCTGGCACGTGCACATCCAAGCGGATTCTCTTTAAGCTGTCCAGCAAGCAAAGGGCCATTTCCCAGTGCTCACACTGTCCGCAGGCGCTTACGGCAGTCGCATGGAGGACGGGGAGGTTGGACGGATCAAAGCCTCTCACGCCAGCTGCAGTCCTGAACAATGTAAGGAGAGAAAGTGCCGCTTCCCACTGCACCCCCGTAGCGCATGCGGACATGGCCGCTGCGAAGCTGACAGCATCCTCACGTTGCTTGGCACAGAGCTCCGTGAATAGGACGAGTGTCTGCTGCCAACTTGAGCCCTGTTCGTACGAAGACATGGCTGCGTTCCAGCTTGCGGTGGCACATTGCATGATCTCTTGCACTGCCCAGAAGTGCTGTACTGCCGCTTGCCATGCAGAGGCCTTTGAGCGAATAGACAAGGCCGTGGTGAGAGCCGGGGCATCAATGAAAACTCCATGCCACTGCTGCGCCAAAAAGAGGAGACCTCCTTGCCAACTCCGTCTGTCGATTGAGTTCACAGCAGCATTCACCGATATCCCGGAAACTCGAAGGTGCTTCATCATCGCCTGCCCCAGAAAGAGCAAAGGCCTGTGCCACTCTCTCGGTGGTAGGCATGTAGCCATGGTGGTACAGCTCACCGGGTTCAGACGCAAACCTTGAGGGAAGGCGTCTCCAAACACGGCAAGGGCCCTAAGCCACTGTGAGCTACAAGCAGAGACGACCTGGTTCAGAGAGATCATATTCTTCCGTAGAGACGTTTTGTCCAAGTAGGACAAGAGCAGGGCTGCTTGTCGCCACTCTGCTGCACGGCTGATGCATCGCAAGGCCGCCCCATAACTGAGGATGCTCCTCTCAAGGCTCAGGATTGAGAAGCACGCGAGAAAGGTCAATGCCTGGTGCCACCGACGCTTGGCCCCCAGGACGGAATTCAATGTAACGGTGTCTGGCTGCAGTCGATGCTTCTGAAACCGATGGAAAAGCACCAGTGCACTTGACCAGCTAGATGCCTGCACGCAGGAGCTGATTGCAACATTGCAGTCGTATGCTGTAACTTCTTCAAAGCGATGAAAAAGCAGCGATTGCTGCCAAGCAGGGTCTGTCTGTCCGGCTGACTTCTTTGTGAGCGACTCTCTGGCCGTTGCTTGTGCAACCATTCGGCCCCGTGGAATTCCATGTGCACTGACGATGCCACCACCTCACCACACAGTCTGGCCCGTCGAAGCATTCAAGCCGCAAAACTGCGACTCGAGCGGGCCACGCCTCCTCCACACGCTTAGCTTTCTACATGCTGGAGCAACTGGCGGTGGGTCATCAATCTACTCGACAAGCTTGCAGCAACAAGCCCGCAGCTGCAGGGTTGTAAAGTAGACTGTATGGATGCCGTGTTGCTGCAGCATTTTCAATCCGTGCGAGAAGACTTTGTGATGGAGAGCGTTGCCCTCTCTTCCATCTTAGCTCCTCGCCACACCATCACCTGGAACGCCCAGGAGGAGTGTCAGCCTGAGTCACCCCACACTCACAAGCCGTGAGCAGAGTCACGAGGAACGCCATGTGTAATCATGATATGCCTGAATGCGTCTCCGCTCGAGTGCTAGTGTGGCAGGAGTGCACAGAGTCCACAGTCCACGAACCCGATTGACTTGCAAAAACCGCAATGCCCCATCCATGCAGCTGTTACGAGAATGCACAGCTCCGGCCATTGACAATGTGCTGCGTGCTGCATGGGATCAAGAGGATTGCCAGCCTATGTCAGACTCGCTCCAGAAGTTCTGCAACCTGAGATGAACCCAAGAACCCAGGTGAGGGCTGGACTCGGAGCCATGAAACGCGTCCCGGCCCCTGTCAAGTTCAAGACAGGATCATGTCTCAATATCATATAACTAGAAGGCCATTTAGAGATTATGCAGTCTGCAGTTGCGAGGTCGATACTCCACCAACACGACTGAATTTACTGCTACTGTACCAGGGCACAACTTCTGCAGTGCCAAGCACCAGGGTTTGCAGAAGCAATTGCGTTGAGAGATTGAGGCGACGGTCTCTCCTCCGACGACATCATGAACTCATAATTGCAGCGTAGCTCTGCACGACATATCAGCACAGCCGGAAACACTAGAGTCAGCCACTAGAGGACAGCCCCTGCCACGCCTGAATGCGGGAAAGGCATGGCTTCTCAATTTACAAAGTCGAGTCGAGCAGCTTCGTCCGGCCTGACACACCCTTGAGAAGCGGCTCGAAGGATCCCCCTGCTCAAGGCTCCCAAAGCTGGAAAGCGCCTGTAGCCATCGAACTGGTAGCGGAACAAGGACTTGCATTGCCCCGAGGCCGACAGACCTCGAGATTCGACCAGAGGCTTCGGCTCCCAAGTATTGCTTCTCCGGTCCCGATGGAATGCTGTTAAGATTGGCCTACTCTTGCTTCAACTCTTGAATGCCACGGGTGCTGCTGGTCGCTGCCACTGGTCGCTAGAGAGCGCGAGCCAGGCCAAATCTGCGTTTGTAACACTGGATGTTCACATGATGGCAACACATATGTACTGCAGGCATCGACAAAACATGGGCATTCAGCTTAAGCTGAAGGAAAAGCAATAACCTGTGCTCTGCTGCACTTCCACTCACAAGATCCAACAACAACGCTCCTGCTGGGAACTGCGCAGGTCTCCAAAAAAACAGTAAGCAGCTTGCAGCCAGTGCCTACAGATTACATCAGCCTGCAGTGCATCCGTGAAACACACAACGCCCGATGGATGCAGGAGCTTGGGCGTCGCACGCTCTGAAATGAGCTGCACCTGCACACTACAGTAGCTGCAGATTCTTCAAGCGGCGTGACCGTGAGAAAAGCACAGTATGCCAAACTCGAAACCATCGCTGACTTGCCAACGAAATATGTGCGCAGTTTGGTCGTTTAGTGGCTCTATAGAGCCGACGGACAGCCGCACCTTGGCCAGGAAGGAGAAGTCCGTAGCAATCGCGTCATGCAGCAGTTGCGGCTGCGACGCATCTGGCGGCGCAGGACGCAAGAACAGGACCCGAGCTTCGAAAGCACAGTGCGGGTCCTGACTCACGTCGGCCAACTCAACAACTCAGTGTCACTTCGAAGCCTAAGAAGACTAAGGAAAAACCCAACAAACGATCTAAGAGCTCAGAAAATCCCAGGCCCGGGCCTGATCCGAGCTCCTCCTCGTAGGCCTCGCCAAAGAGAGCAAGGCTAGGACTAGGAATTCCCGAAAGAATTCTATGAGCTTTCAAAAAAAGGCGGGCTCAGTAGGCCCTGTAGCACCAGGACGGACTGGCTTGAGGCACCCACAGGGATCAAGTCCGTCCGCACACACTGCTGCGCAGCCTGGGCGCAACCATCATGCATGGCTCGGAGCCCACGTAAGAAGTGTAACCCGTTGTAGCGGACTGGTGCTATGGAGAAACACAACATGCATGTCTTCTTTGGTGTCTTTGGTGGACTGGCCTCGAACGGCGAGTTGAGCAATGCGGGGCTGCCTACGATCTCCCATGCCTGGCAACAAGCACCAAAGCCAACCGTTTCGACACCGTGGAGCGGCAGCAGCACACTGCCTCCTAATCCATGGCTCATGTTCAATTTTGCGACGGGACTGTCAAACCCTGAACCCCAGGCGCACCATGCGCCGGATCAAGTTTGACCGCGGCTCGTCTGCTGGAACGAAGCGCCCACAGCCTCGGCCACATTATTTTCAAACAGGATCGGCGTTTCCGAATCCCCGTTGGATGGGCTGGGTGGCCTTCGAAAACGAACCTTGCAGCATGACCGCTAACGAAGTGACAGAGTTTTGTGCTCGCGTCCTGGCACACGGGCGGGTCAAGATCGGGTGACTCCTTGAGAAGGTCTCTGCAGCAAACTTTGAGGCTTCGCCTACCAAGCAGAGATTTGACCATGCAGCTGGCACGATTAATAGGAGTTCCTACAGGCTAGAAGCATGGTACCGCCCGCCTCGCGAAGGCTTGAAACAATCCGCGTGGTGAGTCCAAGCTTACGGCAGTCTTGTCTTGCACTTGTGACCACTACCATAAGTTCATGGTACCTCGGCACGATCTGCAAGCTCCCTGGTTCACATTCACAGCTCCAGGAGAACCCGCATGAAATTAAACGACATGCTTGAAACGACAAAGCCCCGAAGACGCAGCTCTGATTTGAGAAAACCTTGAATTCCAGCACACCCTCCAGAAGCTCTCAAGCCTCCTCCGGCTTGGGCGCTTCTTTCGGCTCCGGCTTAGGCAGCAAATTCTCCCAAATGGGCTTCTGCACCTCCCAGATGCTCTTGGCACATTTCTGGAAAGTCGCCTTCTCGGAATCCGTCAAGGGCAGCACGGCGACGCGCTGCACGCCATGGCTGGAGAGGCTACAAGGGAGGCTCAGGAAGACGTCGCCCTCCACGTCGTAGAGGCCACGCACACAAGTTGACACTGGGATGATCGTGCGGGTGTCGTTCAGCACGGCCTTGCAGATGTAGGCGGTCGACATACCGATGGCCCAATTGGTGTAGCCCTTCAGGCTGATGATGTCGTAAGCAGAGTTCACAACTGACTTGTGTATTTTCTTCAAAGTGTCGTTCGGCTCCTCGCCAGGCTCCAAGAGAGGAAGGGCGCCCACACGGACCGAGGACCAAACAGGGATAGAAGAGTCCCCATGCTCACCAATAATGTATCCATGGACGTTCTTGGGATCCAAGTCCATGGACTGGGCAATCAGCGTCTGGAATCGGGAGGTATCTAAGCAGGTGCCCGCACCGAAGACTTTGCCTTGTGGGAAGTCAGGACCAGCGAGTTTCGCAGCGATGGCCGTCATGATGTCGCAGGGGTTGCTGACGATGAGGATGGTTGCATTCGGAGAGTACTTGAGGACTTCTGGCATGATCTTCTTCATAATGTTTGCATTGCGATCAACCAGGCTGAGCCGCGATTCGCCTGGCTGCTGAGCGACGCCTGCCGTGATAACCACCATGTCTGAATTCTCGCTTACGTCATAGGCATCTGAGGCGAGAATCGTGGTGTGCTGGTGGAAGGCGCTTCCTTGCTGAAAGTCCTTGGCCTCTCCCTCCAACTTCTTTGCAGAGATATCAATCAATGCCAGCGTCCCACAAATGTCCTGATTGAGAATAGCACAGACGCATCCCAGACCGACCTGACCCATACCGACGATGGTCACCTTTTTGCTACTGTGGTTGCCCAAAGGAGTGTCTTTGGCTGGCTTCTGAGGTAGGGATGCATCGTAGGGGATGGTGTTCACCGTCTTTGCCACACGGAAGTCCACGAAATGCTCGCGAAACTGAGTGTCGGGCTCCACGAGATTCGGCATACCGGCAAGCTGGTTACGGACGGTCACTGTCACCGTCTCCCGGGCGGCTCCCGTGCTGCAAATGCTTGAGCCGGCAGCCGGCACGACAAGCAGGTCTGGGAGGCCCGTTCTACCGCAAAGCGGCTACAGCATCTTATGCTCCCGCCGCTGGTCACTACCGGTTCTGTCTGTTCATATATGAGAGATTGCACAGGTTCCTAAGCTCGGTGGCTCGGTGGCATCAAGGCACAACAGTCTGAGCCCGCATCTGCCGTTGCAGGCTCTTCGTGGCTCCTGCAACTTGCGATGAACACAGACATCATGCTCCATGAATCCGGAAGCTTGGCTTGCACCTGCTCGGAGAAGGCCCGAAAACCTCAGCTAGCGATTCTCTGGTCTGAGCCTGGGACTTCAGCGTGCACACACGTCCCAGTGCAATCAAGACTCCGTTCTCTTGCTTGTTGCCTCCGACGATAATGTCCTCAGCGCTTGGATCCCGTCAAGTTGAGCCCCAATCTCCCGCGCTTTCTGGGGCCGGGGGGCCAGATGGCTGGCCACGCCATTCGTCAGGGCGAGGAGTGGGGGCTCCTGGAGGGATCAGAAACTCTCGAGCTTACCACTCAGAGCGGCTTCGTCTGTCGGAGTCCCCACATGTGACTCAGCGCTACACATCAAGGTCTCAGTGCAAAGAGCAACTGCAGACGACACCGGGCGAAGGAAGGGACAAACCACGGACGGATGCAGTTAACGGCACGTGGACTCAAGGAATTTGGTTGTTGTGAGCATGCGGCGGCTGTGACTTTCGATGTCACGACAGCCGGCCTGCAATGATCAAGACTCTGAAGAGGCTTGACTAGTCTATAAGACAGTGCAGGAAAATTCTGCTGATTTACTGTAGCGGGGAAGCAGCATGCAAATCTACAGCAACGAACCAAAGCTCCACAAACCTCCAAGATGTCAGCGACTTTCGCACATTATGAAATATGAAAGCAAGACTGGAAGGCTTGCTGACTCAGCTCCTTCAGAAACTCGCCGTCTACGACGGCAACCTGAGCTATCGACAGGCATCCGCTGGCTACAAGTTCGTGGCTGTGTACGTTCGATTCTGCACGCTGACAGGCAGAAGCAAGACTTGGCAAAAGGAGGGCCACGCAGCCACAGCTACATGCCCCGACGAGCGTGTGTTCCATTGCGACGAGTAGCACACGGACTGCTGAAGTTATTCTGAACTCGGATCTTTCTCCAAGCTCCCCACCGGCATCGGCCAGCCACGTACGCCATAGCCTGGCAGCAAGTGAAGACTCGGAAATGATGCTTTTTTGCATCCACGTCCAAGACAGTTCTTCTCCGGAACTTTGAGCTTCCCACTCGTTTTCCAGAAAACAGAACCGGAACCCTCATCTAAATATATATATATATATATATATATATATATATATACACATACATACATACATACATACATACATATATAATATATATATATATATATATATATATATATATATATCATATATTTTTTGTACACCATAGTACAGCCCCACGACCACCTGCTTACGGCTCCTTGACCGGGCCTTCTGGCAGCTGGAAGAGGCCAGCCGCACTGGGCACCTCGGGAAGATGGCGATCTTGAAGTTGCTTTGGGGCTCCTACTTACGGGCCTTAGGGTACTTTATAGGAACCCCTATTGAGGGATCTACTTTTTGGATCTCCTGAACATGTGCCCGATATGGTACAAATGAAACTCTAGTCTAAACCTCTCTACCTGTCTGTATATACATATATACACATATTATATATAACTGTTTCTGTCTGTGCGCATGTGTGATTTTCATATATGTAGAGAGGGAGAGTGAGTGAATGAAAGAGAAAGATTTACAAATACTTAATTACATATATACATATCTATATATATATATATATGTCAAGGAATCATAACTCTTGCCTTTCGGCGCGAATCGCTGTGGGTTCGTACTGCGCGCGCACCTGCTGACATCTGCTGACTGCTGACCCCGGCAGGCGGAGCAGAGAGGAAAGGAAGAGGCTTCAGTGGAGACTAGAGCGAGGTGTAGCAGTTTGGAAATGGAGAGGTCCTTTTTCCGGTAATGAGCTTCAGCGACAGATATTTAACATGCTACATCTGCGCAAGGGTGCTTTGCAGCTCTGTACAACATGGCCCCGAAGAAACCATGATCGGCGCCGTTACGCCACGACGCCACGGGACGAGGTCGGGCTCTGGACATGTCCACAAAGATCTCCCGGATACGCGGCCCTCTGCCATGGCAGGGGACCCATTAAAGTCTCGGCCTCCGGGGTGTTGCGGATGCACGGATGCACAGAACCAGAGGTGTGCATCGCGATCCTCTTCTGGATGTGGGTCTGCGCTCGAGATGCTCGGGCATCGGCACGCGTAAAGGAAGGCTGCGCGAAGATCTCCAGGCCGCACAAGACCAAACAGAAACTCCGGCGTTGCTTCTGTCACCTTTAATCGCCGGGAGCATGTGGCAGAGGCAGCTCCATGATGTTGATCGCGGTAGGCCCGGTAGGCGGTCGCCTAGGCCAGAATTTCCAGAACGTGGGTGCAGACGGATTTCAGCTGCAAGAAGGCCGATCTTGCCACAGGTAAGTGCCACAGGCACTTGTAGAAGTTCAGGCACCATGAGATCCATTCATTGAAGGCGATGCCTTGGAAAGCGGCCGCTTTGCCTTCACTGGCCTGGAGCCTGGGCGTCGCGGACCCAGCGCACCGCCCTGGCGGCACCGAGCCTTGGAGTCGTGGCTTGTCATTCGGCTCTGGGTTTGGGCTACCTCTGCTGTCATTGATTTGGAGCACGAGGGAGGGGAGGGAAGGGGAGAGGAGAGAGAGAGAGAGAGAGAAAAAAAAAATTAAACAAAAAGGTGTAAGCCCACACAGTGGCCAAAGAACAGGTCCACCACCGCGTAAAGCTCTGCGTCCACGGGAATGGATCGAGGTCCCGCACACACGGCCGTACCTGAGGATGGAACCGCCGTTTGCCTGTGCACCTTCGGAACAGACCCCTGCAGACCCAAACTCCTCCCATCTCGGGCAACCTCGACGCAGCCATCAATAGCTAGGCAGCCATTCCGGAAAACGATGAGCTCGCCCTCCCTTGCCGTGATTAGAACGCCGATGATGTCACCTCTACAGCTCCGGAGAGGCAGTCTCGCACGGAAGGATCGAATGTACGGAGTACACCGGGCGGTCCGGGTGAAGTGCAAAACCGATACCAAACGACTGCAAGATGCAACTTGCAGCCTGAAAGCCCCCGCTCCTGAAAGCCAGGCCCCCTACAAGTACAGCTCGGAGCCCCCCAACTCAACCCTCCAGACTCCAGGATCCCCAGAGCTGCCTTCTGCTAGAGATCGCGGATCCCAGCCCACCTGCTTGAGGCTGGCACCTGACATCGCCGCATCCAGCGATGGTGTAGAGAGCCAGAGAGTTGAAAGAAGAAGAGATTGATCAGAGATGGGGGGGCTGCAGACTATGGGTTTCCGCTAGAAGATCCCAGAAAGGATCTCAGCTCGGCCCAGCACTCTTGCAGTCCCACATCTGCCCGTCGTAGCCCACACTCCACCTGAATTGGCCAACTGCTAAAGGCTGCTCCATGCAGAGCTGAAGTCGAAGTTGGCGAGTTCACAAATCGTCGGTGTCTTCATGGTTGCTGCATGTTGCCTCCCTGAGCCTCAACGCTCAGCCTACTGTGGAGCATCGAGACGACGCTTGACTATCACTAGCCTAAGGCGGAAGACGTGATCGCAATATTATCAATCGAATGCCTCAGTCTGTACTATATAGGGGTCGTTAAACGGTCGCGTCGGAAGCGGTGATCTGTCTGAACAGACAAGCCATGCGGTCTCATAAACATCTGCAAAGAAGCGTGTCGGCGATGTGCTCCGCCGTCTGCGGCACCGCGGCAACGTCATCCGGTGGTGTGGTTGTGACGCCCACAGTGAGGCCGTCGGGGCTTTCGCCCGGCCTCACCTCTTCCAAAGCGACCTCTCACAGGGCTGGGGATCTGGCTCGCCCCTTCCACTTTTCTCAAAGGGTTCGAGCTCGATGGGCACAACAGTTCTTCGACTCAACACATCAACTGAGAAGAAGCAGGCATTAAACTAAACCTACCCTCGCCGGGCAAGAACCCAGCTCGATGTATAATTCCGATCCTCTCCATTGCATGTTGCCTGCCTCAAAGTAAGCCCCGGCTCGGCCAAGCGCCAGCGGTCTCGTCCCGATCAGGACACCATGCATCCTGGCCACCACAGCGGAACCGGAAAATGCTTTGTTTCGCCAAGGGCCAAGGGCTTCGGGCCATCTTGGGCCTTTACTACACTACACTTGGACTCATTCTACCGCCGCGCCCAAAATGTCCCGGGCGTGATGTCTTCTTTGGTGCTCCGACCGAGCGGCTCTTCACCGGTGTCGTCCAAATGCCGGGCCTGCAGGCCATCCTGACACGATGTTTATGTGTGTGTATATATATATATATATATATATATATATACATATATATATATATATATATATATATATATAGGGAGGGAGTGTTTCTTGAGGCACGATCATAAGTGCGGCTGGCTAAGCACAGATCCGACGACAATAACAGACGATCACAACCAATCACGACCTCTTTCCCCGCCTCGGAGATCCAGAGTTGCACTCCAGATCCTCAAAGCACCACGGGCTGCTGAGCAACGCAATCATGCACCTAACCTGGCCCACTGTGTTCTGAAATCGTCAGTTCTCGTCCACTCAGCGCGGGTGCAACATGAAAGACTGCCAGGCCATTGGGCCATGGCCATGAGCAGTCAAGGGCGGTCCTGCTTTGCGCAGGCCCTCCGGCACATCTGGCTGCTTGCGAGGGGGCGGCTGCGGACGAGGCCGAGGCGGCAAGGGACTGGCAGCAAGGCGTAACCCTTCAAAACAATAACAGGTTCGAGTGGGCATGCTGGGCTAGACTGCCTCTTCTGCTCCGGAGGCAGCTGCAGCCAATTTCCAGCAAACGCCGTCTGCCATTGTGCTTCGGCTGCAGCAGCTGCCGAGGTCCCGTCCGAAAGCAGTCCTGATACGAAACTCTAACGAGCGCAGCTCGAAGTTCAATCAGAATGCTCACGGGCGCAGGAAAAAGCTTGTTCTTTGCTCCAATCAGTCCTGAGCCTGAGAAGTTCTCATCCTCGATGCTGCGCAAGCATGCCTTCGGGCGGTTCCCAAGCGAGCCGAACAGCAGCCGAAATCCACAATGCATGTCGCCTAGCCATATCTCTACCCATGTGTGCCTGCCTTTAAAACTTACCGATCCACCCACCCACCTGCCTGCCGACCTCATCAAATTAAGAAATCATTATGCAGCCGGCTCCGAAAGCGAGTGTGAACGAACACAGCCTCCGTCGCGCTGCGGCCAGGCACGAGTGCAGCCAGTGCAGCAAGCAAGCCAGGGGGTGCCTTGCTGGCTGCCTCCATCACCTTTCAGCGACTAGGAACGCAGGGACTCTGACTTGCTAGCCAGCTTCACGACATCGCACAGCAGTCTCATGCAACATTTGTTGTTCCTAGCGCCCGCCCATCTCGCAAACAGGACGATGCCAGAAAACCATCCAAGACATCCATCGGGCGACAAACTGCCAGCGATGCTCATCAGGGCCGCTCAACCGTGGCTGGGAAAGCCGGTGCCTCGGCTTCCACTTAGATCGAACTCTGCCAGACTTAGAAAGTGCGGCCGGCGAGGAGACACAATGAAGCGTGACACAAGACATCGTCGGTGGTCTGTTATGCGAGTCATCTTGGCCGAGCAGCAGGGCAAGAGCCACGTCATGCCAGGCATTGATGCGCCCGTCTTTCCGGACGACAGGCCGAGAAGCACCTTCACCAAAAGCACGGTCTAGCAAACAGCAGACATGTCGAGGCTGCGTCAACACCGCAAATGCCTGCAAGTTCTGGCTGTTCTGAATCTCAGAGGTGCGGGGATGGTGGGCTTCAGGTTCCAGGATCATCAAGCAACGAATTATGCTAAACAGTGACCTGGTGGCCTCGGACAATCGCCACTTCGCAGCCCGGTGTGTCGCAGATAGCGCATCGAGGGGTTGGGGCCTTCACCTTGGAAGCATTCACTGCGGCAGTGCCGTGTGCAGCATAACGCTCACAACACAAACCTGACTCCTGCAGCATGGTTGTGCACATTGGTGCCTCCCTGCATTGCCTTGAACAGCCCAGGTCGAGTCTGGTCTCGAACACCAGGAGAATTGATGCAAGGTGCTGGCGCCGCTGGGCCTGGCGGCTCCGAAGCCTCCTCCGCCGTCCGCACAGCTGCGGAACGCAGCACTGCCGACGCCACCTGCGCTGCTTATAAGGGCTCTATATGGATTAGGGGAAAAGGCGCTTGCAGTGCCATGCCGAGGCCGCAGCCTCCCGGAATCGGGACTCCGAAACTTCCACCTCATCGCTGGGCCCATCAGTGTCAACATCTGACATCATTCTGCTACCACACGACTGTTTTCCAGGAAGCGATTGGCATGCCACTGTCATAGTGCAGGTTGAGGGGCCGTCTGGTCTTGCATGGCTCCTCGGGCATCCACAAGTGACGCAAGCAGGCTCGTCTTCACACAGACGGGGAAGCTTTAGTGAAACGGTCAGGCAACTACAACCGCTGTGCCAAAACGCCAAGTTTCTCTGCTCTGCCGAGCTCGTATCCGAATTCAGCCAAGTGTCGGCTGCGGGCGAGCAGCGCGCTGATCTGACCCAAAGTGTCCGATGAATCATCGCAGCACGGCTCTTCGCCCCCAAGCAGAAGCTGCATCAGACCCAGGGGGTACCGCCTGCGTCAAACGAAATGCCAGCCCCTCTCTTCTCTACGGCAACAACCCTAGATTTAAATACTTCAAGAATGAACAGCTTGACTCGACAGTCAAGTGGCAAGTCGTCGCAGAGTCTCTGGCACAGTTCCAGGTGCTTGGCGCTAAAGCGGCGGATCAGGGCGTCTGCCAGCAGGCATCGACCAGCCTTCAGTGCTTCGCAAGCCTCCAATTGACCTCTAGCAAACCTTTACGGCGTCCTATGTACGGTGGTCTATGTGAAGACCCAAAAGAGCCCGCGGAAGCCATTGAACAACGCTGGCGATGGCAGCCATGGCGCTCGCAGTGGCGGCGGCTGCAGCCACTCAGCAGGGCGGCGGTGCAGCGCGAGAGCCAAGGCTGCCTCCGAGATTTTGATGTGCCGATGCAGCTTAAAGTCAAAAGAGTAGCACACTATGGAGAAAGGCCGAAAGGGCCCGGATATCCACTATCCCGTACCCACCAAAAGCTCGCCGTCACCTGACCTTGAGCAGCTCGGCGAAGCCAGTGTTGCGCTCACCTGGGAGCCACTCTCAAAGGGCCGCAGGCTTCGACTGCTCTTTTCAAGGTGGCTTCCATAATTTTGTGATGTTTCTTTGAGTCTTTCATCAGGAGGTTTTTGGAGGCTGCTGAGTCGTGTGTCCATGCGACCGAGGTGCAGGTTGGAAGAAGCTTCATCACGTACTGGAGGAGTTCCTGCACCAGCGCGTCCTCACCAACTAACAGCAGGGGGCGTGTCTTGGAGCAGCTGAGGATGCCTCGACGGAGGACTCGGAGAGGGGCTCTATGGTCCCAGTGCCTGCATTCAGCCCTTCTCAGCTCCACGCTCGACGCTGTCGAAGCCCATGAGGCGTGGACCTGTGCTGCTCCTTTTCTCTATGGGAAGTGAGAGACCAAGAACCTTGGGCTTTCGACCTCGCAAATTTCAAGTATGCCCCCACAAGCTTATCCGAAGGGCGAACGATAGCCAACCAAAGAGAGCTCTTCTAATCCACATCACACCCATGTGCCAGGATGCTCGAAGGCCCAGGACATCCAGTCGACGATGTTCCATGGCAGCACCTCCCAGCTCAACGTGCTACGGATGGTCCACAGCAGCCATGATCACGGAAGGTCTACTTAGTCTAACGGATACATGCAATACACCGCAGTTGGTTCGCAGCCTTGCCTTCGGGAAGGCAGTCAAGGCGGCCTCGAAAACATCTCCTCGAGGCAGTGGCGAGAAGACGGTAGAGTCTTAGAGCATCTTGTTGCTGAGAGACAGAGAGCTCCTGGTGCAGCTACCTGCCCACCATCTGATGCCAACCCTTGTGCAAGCAGCGCCTCAGGTTCGAGGCTGGAAGCAGACACAAGCTCAGTACCAAATCAGCACCCATGAATCCGCAATCCGTCACCGCTGTCGGCGAGATTCTGATGCCAGTCTGCTTGAAGAAGCCCCTGCATCTACCAAGGCACTTGCAAAGGCCAGCAGCGGTCCGCGGCCAGGGCTGCCAGAACTGCCTCTTGTTACAGAGGGAATGGAAATCCATCCATCATGGCCTGCATACACAATGCACCATTCCCACACCAAAGCCTCGCGCCATGTGGCGGCACTTGCAGGCTGCACCGGTGCTGCGGGACCCAAATTTCGGGCGAAGGCAGCCACCTCTCGCCAGCCAGGAGAACCTCGGGTATCCGAAACACCTAACTGCTGCCTGCCGATGTCTTCTGGGCCACTTCCCATCAAGACGGTCATAAGTAAGCGGTTACACCAAGCGGCTGGATGTGACCAGGCCATTGGCCCAGAAGTGGCATCGTTCAGCAGCCAGCAGGTCATCCTTGGCCAGGCCTTGGTTGGCGTCAGCACACTTCTTGGAATACATTATGCGCAGCTGCAACTCATAGCCGTGGGTTCCATCGGCACCAACACACCTAGAGGCAAGCCAATACTTCGGAACTTCAGCATCCGAGCAGCAAAAGCGGCACAGTGCCAGTGCCGCTGAAGCAGGCAAGGCTGAACCAGGAACTGCATTGCGAAGGTGTGCCGCGAGACGCTCCCTGCAGCAGGAGCTGTTGGCATCACCGTCGGTTTCCAGATCAAACTGCGAGGGCAACTAACGCGTAGGACCAGCGATCACAACCTTTGCTGAGGCAAATTCTCCTCTCATTTGGGACTTAACATGGTCGGTCCCAAAGGCCCCTGAAAACTTCGCAAACCCATGCTCAACACCCTCCACCTGTAAACCAGTAGTATTACCGGCCTTTCCCATACCTCCGGCTCGCCGCCAGCTGAAGGGGAAAGTCCGATCGAAGGCCAATCCTTCTATGCAAGACGAATCAAAGCAAAGCACAGGCTCAATGACCTTCCAGAGCCTGAGAGCCTCAGGGCCTATGCAGTTCAGCTTTTGCGGTCGATTTTCCCTCACTGCAATAGCAAGAGACAGGCTCAACCGCAGCATTTGGGAACCTTTGGCGGGTGCCGTCCTCGCCGGCCACGAGGAGCTCCAAAGCCAGCGCTGCACTTGAGCCGAGGTCCGTGGCCTCGGCCTCCAGCCTGCGCTGTTTGTTTGCGAAAGCTGTAATATAGGGGCCTTGACAATTAAAACAGGGCTTCGGGGCCCATTATAGTATAACTATAATAAGGAACCCCCAAAATAGTATAGGTAATTTTCGTAAGGCCCTCACAGCAGAAGTCTCTTGCATGTCGAGAGCCACGCAGGGGCCTCTCGGCCAGCCACGGCAGCAGGGGTGCACCGTGTTGACATACGGCGAGGTGTCCCGGAGTTTCCAGGGCCTGGACCAGGCAGAACAGACAAATCCGTGCTTTCGCGTGCTTCACAGCAGCTGGTCCTGAGACGCTGTACCCTCGTGTTTCGCAGAGAAGCAGAAGCGACTAGACCCACCGGTGGAATCTCTCAGATTCAGCCAACATTCGATCTGCGCCATACTGGCAGCGAAACACAATCGAATGATGATAGTGTTACGAATTGCCCCGTCACTCTTACAGCAGTTGGCTTTAACCTGAGCAGCTGCCCTGCTGTCTGCTTGCCGGGACGTCCCCTGCGCTTGCACCTGACCCCCGTCAAGCCAAACCGTCCGTGGTATTTCAGGAAGTGCAGCCGCAGCCGGCTGTATATCACGAGCCAGAGCTCGTCGTACAGGTCCCGGAAACTAATGCCAGGTAAGGCACATTTGGTGCAGCTGACGCTGCAATTCCAAAGTTTGGAACGGGAGATGTAAGCCAGCTTGCTATGATTGACCTCAACCCATATCTCATCAAGAACTCGCATCTGGATGCTGGCTTTGATCGATGTTCCAAGGCTATCTGCTGGATGCACACTCCACGACTCGTGGGAAGTGGCAGGTTGTCGTATCGATTACCGGCCATAGCAGGGTGTTTTGCGAAATGCTTTTGCAGCATCGAGTGAAGGCATGGGTCTGAGAAGAGAACCTGTGCAACAGACATGCATGAGCCCTTCCGTTCGCAGAGCTTGCCAAGTATCTGCTTCCTGGCTGATGAGAAGCTGCTCTCATGTCAAGGTTGCGGCGCCTTGTGCAAGTCCTATCGCCTGTGGAAGATACTCCTGTATATCAGCAGCAAGTCCTCAACAAAGGATGTTCTCGGAACCCAGCACCAGCCTCCGAAACTGCCAATTTCCACCGGACAGAGCAGACGAGCTCACGGATTCGGCCAAGCGCAGGATGGCGAAACCAGAACAGCAAAACTCAAGGTCTCCTCAGGAGACAAGATCCACCTCTCACCACATTCTGTTGCACCACAACCCTTCGGCGAGAGACGAAGAATCAGCAGCTGCAGCAAAAACGGCCATGCGACTGTTAGGTTCCGGCAACGACAAACAGGCTGCTTGCTATAAGTTCGTGCATGCCACCGCGCATCTCCTATGCAGACCCTTAACCCTTGAAACAGTTGTAACCCGGGAGGCTTGGTCCCGTGATGTCCCATAAGTCCATAAGGAACCCGAATTGCAGAAAATGCGCCTGAACCATAGGCCGCAGAAAGGCCGGCTCGAAAGCACCAAGGCAGGGCGCGACCTCAAGATGACAAAACGAAACTTCTTGCCTTATGTCATGCTGCATGTAGACCTGGTCCTGGTCATGTCCTGTCTTCTGTATATGGGCTGCTGGAATTTCATGTCTCCTCTTCCCAAAATTCTGGGCCCTCCGACGCCGGTCTCCTTGGCGTGGCAGGCGATCAGCTCCAGGGACTGCAGCCATAGACTCGGAGAGAGAAGTCCTGCGAACGATTGAAGTTTCGAGTGACACAAACATGAGTCCGGTCCCGCCTGCCAAGTGATGACACTTTTTGACTCTTGGCGGACGGTGTCGTGCTCCAAAAAAGAGTTGCGGCGGTGGCATGGCACGAACGCTTCAAGCTCTAAATGTCTTCCGGTCCTTCGATGTCTTGGCCGCGCTGATGTGCCTCAGGCATAGGTATAGTGGTACGTGCTGAAACTTGAGGCCCGGGGGTATCTTCCTCGAAAGAAGCCCATGCTGAGCCCTCGAGGACCTGGATCCGGCAGAAAGCTTGATGGGCCTCGTCTCCGCCGCACTCCTCCTCGAGGACGTCCCAGGCGGCCACAGGGAAGTTGGACAGGGAGGCCTCATTGTCATTGCGCGATTACGCACATCTAAGGCTGCTAAGGTAGATGGCTTCGGCGTCAAAAAAGCGTATCCAGCAACGCTGCTTCACCCCGGCATCAGCTAGAAGCAAAGCTCTCTCCTATGACTACATGAATAGGCAGAGCTTCGTCCACAAGGCGTACGCCTGCCCATGGCTTGCCTGCTGCATTCAGGACCGGAGCTTGCTGCGACGAGGATAACTCAAGGCTCCCGACATTTGCGCATTATGTAAGGCTCACGGTCCCTGCTTCAGGTTCTCACGCTTCCCACCGAATGAACACTTTTCTGCTCGAAGGGACCCCGTCGCCTGCTGCTCGCGATGCTTCGCGTTCCGCCTCGAGCCTCGCAAAATGCGCAACTTGCCTCCGGCTGCTCAGATACCATGCAATCATACAAGAACCGATTCAGCAGCCCTTCTGCAGGGCGTGAGTCCGCACCACAGACCACAGACTCGTTGTCCCCTTGTCTTCCCAAAAGCAGCTGAGCAGCTGTCGATCCTCCAAGTCTGAAACCTCGGGGCATCCCGGCGCTGGACTACTACTCTCGCCGTGCTGCTATGCTTGAAAAATCGAAACATGGGAAGATGGCGGCAAAAGGAATCCAAGGCTTGCTGAGGATAATTACGTCCCCAACAGCGATGTCACGACCAATGAAAGAGAAGTCGCTCCGAGAGCTCAGGCGCAAGTGGAACATACTTAACATGCGATCAAGCGTCCCATTGCGTGAACGCAGCTTTGTGCCGCTCTGCTTCCTGGTGAAAGGAGTGAAATGTTAAGGAGCGGCAGGGTTCGCATCTTCATTCCAGCGTAGAGGTGCGTGGAAAACAATATGTAGAGTTCTTGCCTCCTATAGCCGCGGCACAAAGCAGGGTGATAGGTGCGATGTCTGAACATGTAGTGTTATTATAGTAGTATAGTACAACTGACCGGAAGTCGAAGCAAGATGTGGAAGTTGGTTTGATCAGAGCTGCAGGACAGTTGGTCGCTTCGTTGAAAGCCAAAGCTGGGGTGTGCTGCAGGCAGGCTGGGGACCAACTCTGACAGAGGGACTCGCCACGCAAACCCGAGTGATCTCAGAAAGCTGAACAAACAACACCGTCCAGTGAAGAACACGGTTCCATTCACAGCAAACCGCGTCTTCCGCCTATGGCAACAGACGGATCAAGAGACGCTGTGTGATGTGTGCAACCACAGGGGCATGAGGTCATGGGAGACATGTGGCCTCGCCCCCTTCCGAAACATCGGCGGCCACCGCGGCGACCACCGGCGCAAGGCCTCCGAAGACAGGGTTTCAGCACTCACACTCGGGCAGGGTTTGAGAGGCAAGGCTACAGGGGGAGGCATTGCAATTTGCAAGATCACAGTCCGCTGGACAAGCAACCCTCACCCTGTGAACTGCAGCCGCATCGAAACAACCCTCGCACTGAAACTGGAGCCTGGTCTGGCTCAAAGTCTGTAACCCAGTGCCATGAAGGAGGAGTCGCCTTCGAGAACTTCACCAGCAGGAACTGCCTCTAGTGATGCCCTGGCCGGGGACCGGGACAGTCCCAAGACAGAGCGCTCTCAGCTGCAACGCGATGCCAGAGATTCCCACAGAGAGCTCCACAGAGCGAGAGCTGAGAATATGCCTACAATGCAGGTTTGAAAACTCCCACAACGGCGGCCAGCAGTGCCGCAGGTTGTTCACCTTCCCAAGGCTTCCCAGAAGATCGGCACCATGTGCAGCGATCGTCGCACGGCCTTGAAGGCGGAGTTACCGAACGGCGATGGTAAAAGTAGAAGATACAAGCAGATTGCTACTTGTAGCTGAAGGGCCGTGCCCCATGACGTTTGAAGCTTTTGTGATCTTGTGCTGAACAAATAGATTGGGATGGGCTTGAAGTTCCCGAACGAAAACAGAGTCAAGTCGCTGAAATAGCAACAGGATCACAGCGCCTTGGCCCCTTACTCGGGCTAGGTTTGTAAGCGGATGCTTTGGCTGCGTGCTTTGCTCGGCGTGGATAAGGAAGGGAAAGCATAATTGAGACCAGCCCTGTGCTGATCGAATCTAAACCTGGTGTTACACGAGGCTAGCCTCTACTCAACAGCGCTTGGGGCTGAAGATACCGGTACTTTGTGGCGGTCTTCAGTCCTCAATCCGCAAGGAAGAGAAAGACCTTCGAAAGGCCTAGCATCCAAACACCCAGGCCGAGAAGCAGATCACCAGAGGCCTCGGTCCCCAAATCAGTCCCCCATTTCCAAAGTGTCCAGGTAGCAGGTTGGGCATGATAGACCATGCAAAGTAAAGGCCGTTACACCACAAGGGTGTTAGAGTCCGTTAGAGGCGAGGCGAGGATTTGGGGAATCTGCTGAATGTTTTCTTACTTTCCCTCACAGTAACAACATCCATCACCGTGGAACAGTTCAGATCCTCGGAAACGCTCCCATCGGACTTTGCACACCAAGGCACCCAGCAGAGAGCAACACCACGGAGGCGCCGCCCTCGGAACGGCACTGCGAGACTGCGAGTTGCTGATCCCTGGTTTTCATTTGTTTTCGACCTGTTTGAGCTCCCAGTGGACTCCCAGCCCCAGCTCCTCGCCCCACGAACGAAAAGCAGTCTTCATCGACTTTGTTCCATTTGAGGAACGACAAAAAGACCCTTCCCTTGCTCCCTTCACGCCCTTTCTTCGCCTGTGAATGAGCCAGGAGCGCTCCACCCGGCCACGGCACGGCGTCGACGACCTGCAGTGGTCGCCGGCAAACGCCCACAAATGGAACCACTTAAAGGACCTGTAGGATGCAGCTAGCTGGTAAGGCCATACCTGGTGGAGCCGAGATGCAGGTGGTGTGGACCACTGCGAGCTAATTGCGATGGCCTCCAGGTCCAGGAGAATCACCTCAATGTTCTCCATCCAGGGGCAGACGGCGCTGCAGTTGTACCCTAAAGCTGTCACAACTGCGAACATATGTTGGCCAGCAGGACATCCATGGAGTCAACAGTTAAATAGACGGCTGCCCCATGAGCATGTGTTGAATGTAGTGCAACAATGTAAGATAGCACAAGGACGACCAGGCCAGGTCGTGCAATGTCTGGGCCTCCGCGGCATCGCTCCGGGAGACACTGAGCACACGGTCTCTGCGCAGTGGAAGCAGCGAACCCAGCGCGGCCTCCAGTGCAACAGCCAAAAGTTGTGAACCAAGCTGCTTTTGGAAGCCACCCTGGCATTTGGTCTTGCCGGGGGCAGAGTACTGGTGCACAAAATCATAAGCAAAACCTGAGGCAAGGCAACGATCAGCTTCTGCAAAATCTGGCCTTTCCCTCGCCACCCGGATTTTGGAAAATCAGAGTTGTCCTTCGGAAGCACTTTGGGAAGTCAACTCGCTTCAGGGTGTGGGTGTGAGTGCAAGTAGGAATCGACCTAGCTCTTCTTAATCGCAAACCACTCCGATTCTCATGGGGAACGGTGCAGAACTGTCAGTGATAAGCCCGCCCTGCCCTCCCAAGATTTGAACCCGACTCCTCACGGTGCCGCTATCTGCCGATGCCACCCAAAGACGCCCGCCGGGTCGAGCAGCGATGAGGTCGGCCTCCGGGAGATCGTGCACTTACGTAAAAACGCTTCGCAACCCTTGTATATAATGCTCAAGGCAGAAAGTTTCTGGCAGCCGGTGCAGAGATACACAACGTGCTCCACCACTCTCTCTGACTCTCCCTCCCCCCCTCCCACCTCTCTCTCTCTCTCTCTCTCTCTCTCGCGCGCGCGCTCTCTCGGATCAAGCCAGATGTCACAGAGCCTCCGGGCCAAAGTGGTCGCCTCGGCGGCGGGTCATCGGCACTCGGAAATTTGCAAAATCCGCCCTACACCCCAGCTCCACAAAGGGGCAACTTCTGCCACCAAGGCACAGAAGGTGGCTGTGAGGTGGCTCTTGTGTGGCTTGGAACCGACCTGGGCAAATCCAAGCCGAAAGGCTGAAAGGACTGATCTGGAGTCACTCGCCGGTGTTGTCATCATGCGGCCATCTTTGCCACTTCTCTGACAAGGCACCCACTGCGCCGGCGCGACCTCCGCGCCCAGTGCATCGGCGATGACGGCAATTCGCTCCGACGTGGACACCTCAAGCGCCCGGCTTCTTTTTTGGGGGGGCCGGGTTGAGTTTGTATCTTGAAAGCCCAAGGCCAGTTCCATAGACAGCCCCATGCTCCTCAAAAACCGGGGCCTAGCATTCTACCAGGGATGTGCCAAGGAAGCACTGAACTTCAAAGGTGTCCAACTGAAGATCTTAGGCTTAGGCTGAATCTGCTATGCTGCATTTTCGTAATTGATACAGCTGAGAGTTCTATGCAACAACACATTGAAACAGTGAGAAAAAACTGCCATCTATGCTCATTTCACGCATAAACACGCAATCAAAGCACGAATAGAAAACCCGTCGTCTACGATCTTTCAAATCAAACCTCCAAGAAACCTCCGTTCCGCTTTAGTCCCAGCTGCCAGCAGCCGCGACCCTGTCTTCGGACAAAGCTCCAAGGCCAGGATGGCAGAGGCGAGCTCCGCACAAAGCTGAGCAGGGATCAGCCAGCTGTGTCTGTCGCTGTCTCTCTGTGTCTGTCACTCGTCAGCACATATGTCATGTGTGTGTGTTTCTACCTATCTTCCTACCTATCTACTATTATATTTGATTGTAGATCTAGATCCCAGATAATATTTATATGAAAACGTGTGTGTGTGTGTGTCTATATAAATATAAATATATATATATATATATATATATATATATATATATTATTGTCATTGTTATTATTATTATTATTATTATTATTATTATTATTTTTGTTATTATTATTCTTCTTCTTCTTCTTATTCTTATTCTTATTCTTATTCTTATTATGATTATTCTAATTCTTATTCTTATTCTTATTATTATGATATCATATATATATATATACACACACACATGCAGGCGACTTTCACCTGGCGGCCTGCCGAATTTTGGCAAACAACATCGAGCCTACGATCAAAAAAATGTGTTCTAACGAAGAAGCTCTGCGGAGTATCAAGTAGCCTCCTACTGCAAGCAGCTCTATTCCAGGCAGGCAGCCGTGCTCGCGAGGGCATGCGAGGTGCCTCCTTCCTCACAACAACTGACAAGCGGCAAGAACGCAACAGCAAACCGTCAAATCTGTCAAATTTTACCCGCAAAAACGTGCTGTAGAATTCTGTCATGTCCTTCTTTGCTGTCTCAACCTGAGGCGCAGCCGAAGCAAAACCCCGAACCACCGCGACTTGACCTGCAAATGCCGAGCGAAATCCCCCAACCCCGAGCCTCGGGCAACCAGGTCCGCCGCAGCCGACCCGCGCTGTCCGCAGAGAAGAGGCCACGAGGGCCGCGCGCTCCCTCCTCCAGCAAGACACCTGCCAGGAAGAGTTGGGGGAGTTCATTAGATAAAGCCAGAACCTTGCGGTGTCCATTTCACAATTTCACTTCAGGCCTCCCAAGCCGTCTGTGGCAGGGCTCAGGAGCAGTGTGGTCACTGCTGCCGGATTGTGCCTTGGTGGATCTTAGCGCGTCTCAGGCCGACTCGCGCACTGCCCTGATCAGAGGATCCGCCGTCACAAGCAGAGACACCCCCTGAAGTCTACATAAGCCTGCAGAGATGCAGGGAAAAGCGAGCTAGAAGCAATAGGCAGTTTGTCAAGGCAACTTCTCCCACAGACGCTGCAGAATTTCGATTGTATTCTGGTGCTGCCCTGAACCCAAAGAAGCCAATGCTCATCGCCGAGCTGCCCTTCTTCTAAAGTCCTCAGCTCATCGCCAGGACCGGCGAGTATCAGTTGGCCATCTCGCGTTCCTGGCACTGAGAGAGTGGCTTGGGGCCCAGTTTGGTGCCGCTCTGGCCGACTGCAAGACAGTGGACGGAAGCCTCAGCATGCAAGGCCAAAATGGGCTGAACCCTTCAGCACTGAAGAGCCTGCCACGATGAGGGCATCGCTTGTCACCGCCACCGCCGTCACCTGGCGGCTGCAAGGATACTATAGTGTAGGGGATTTGATAGTTAGAATGGGCCTTTGAGGGTTCCTCATATTATTGCCCAGAGAAGATCAAAGTCCAAAAGCCACGAAAGGGAGGCCAGGGTTCAGGGGTTCAGGGGTTCAGGTTTGGCGTTATTAGGGCTTAGGGCTTTCGTTTTGTAAAACGAGCGAGGGTTTAGGGGTTTTCGACGCTCACCCTCGCACAAGCCAGGGTTTAGGGCTTTTAGGGTTTCGACGCTCACACTCGCACAAGGCAGGCAAGGCTCCACATAGCTTTTGGGGTTTAGGGCAGAGCTCCGGTTCCACAGGAAGCGGTCAGCTTTTACTTTTTGGCTGACCGGCCAATGGTTTCGCAGCAAAAGGGCGACTCTCCTAACTCCTAACAGCAAATCGCAAAAGGGGGGGAGTCAGGTCGGCTGCATCAGAACATCGGTGAAACATGGGCTCACTTCTTCAGGTCATCGAGGTTGAAGGTGGCCATCACGGCACCAAAGCCTCGGTCCACCTGCGGAGGACGCATTGCAGAGGAGCATCCCGGGTTGGTCCACGAATTGGAGCAGCCTCTCAATGTGAAGTTCGTCTCGAAATCGTTTTTTAGGTGCTTGTGGACAGCGCCCCTAAAGCACTTAGAGTACCCAGGAGGACGTGCCTGTCCAGACGTTCCTGCTCAGCTGCTCTATAGGGAAACCTGTAACGGCCCGAAGTTTCAGAGGCACCTCCTTCACGGACTTGCCATCCTCAGAGAAGTCCAAGCCCGTGCCGGTGGGTCTCACGCCTTTGCTGTCGTTGTCGGTCCATTCCTTGCGCAGAGACACGGCATCCCAGGGCTTGGATCCCGGCTTCCAGCCGGGAAGGTAAAACCTGAGCTCTTGCGGGTTTCGGGGCCCTTCTTGCGGAGGAAAAAAAGTGGAGTGGAAGGGGAGGCGAGAGGAGGGAGAGGAGGATCAAGATTGAGCCAGGAACAACCACTCTGTCATGTCGTCCTCCTCACGACTGTCTTGGTTTCGACAGCTCTTCACGATGACCCAGTCGCCACTGCGCCTGCTGGTTGTTGGGATCTCATGCTTCTTGTCGAAGCTGTCCTTGATCTGCTGAATTATTTCATCAGCCGCCGCATCAGTCAGGGCTTCACTCATAGTGTCAGCCTGGCCCCTGTAGCAGGCTGCGCCCATATAGCTGTCGGGAAGACTGAGAGACTCCAGGATTGAGCCTCACTACTCAAGAAACAAATCATCACGAGGCACCCAGAGGAGCCCTTCTCGTCTTGTTCTGTCTGCCACTGGTTGCAGGAACGTGCGTGATATGAGCACTCCATGCATTGGGGTTTGCAGGGCCAGCATCCTGACGCGCACACCCACAAGTAGGAAAATGCCATAGACCGTAAATGCACCATAATTTGTAAGTGTACCATAACATACCGTATATATATATAGGGTCTTACAGTGTATCAGAATATATATCATCAGGTACCATAACAGATTTATACTACAAGATATGGGAGTTCCCCCTCATTTTCGGAAACTCTCCAACATGGACTATAAGAGCCCTAGAAATCCGCTCCCGGCCCAAGAGCCTCGCTCACCAGCCAGCTGCGCAAAGGCACCGGTGCGCCGGCGCCCGGGCCTGCGGAGCGAGGTTCCTTTTGAATGTTCCTTGTCGGGTGCTATAAGGGGATCCTTAGGGCATTCTATAAGAGATCTATAAGGGGATCCTTAAGGCTTTCTATAAGGGATCTATAGGGGGATCCTTAAGGCATTCTATAAGGGATCTATAAGGGGATCCTTAAAGCATTCTATCTGGGATCTACAGGGGGATCCTTAAGGCATTCTATAAGGGATCTATAGGGGGATCCTTAAAGCATTCTATAAGGGATCAATAAGGGGATCCTTAAAGCATTCTATAAGGGATCTATAGGTGTTCGGCGCTCACACTCGGACAATCCAGGCGAGGCATGTGGTTCGGAGTCTGCCAACAAGGGTTTAGGGTCTACTAGGTGAGGGGTCTTTTGTGTCTTTGAAGGCCGTTTTCTTCAGGATTTACGCCCTCGCACCTCGGACAATCCAGACGAGGTCTGTCGGGTTAAGTCGGACTACAAGGTCACGGATTTTTTTGACACTCACACTCGGACAAGCCCGGCAAGGTCTGCAGTTGCAAGGTGACGGGTTTCGACTCACACACTCGCACAAGGCAGGCATGGCGGATTTTGGGTCGAGTTGGTTTAGGCTCCTGAAGTGCTCATAGGACAGAAGCTTCGGAATGTTTCGAAGCTTCTGTCTGCAAGTCCTAAGGTCCCAGGGCCCAGCAGAGGGCATATCTGCGTCCGTCTGCTTCTGTCGGCAACCATTCGCTCGGAGAAATTCTAAACCCCACACGAGTTTCATCCACTTGCTGCCGGGCACCTTGTGAGGTGTAGAGAACCAAGCCTGAGCTGCAAGGCCCTTTAGTGGCCAAAACGGACCAAAGCGAACCAAACAAGATCATCCTTCAGCGAGATCCATACTGAACATCCGGGTTCGACCACGAGCATTGGACATGAGTCGGCAGAACATGTCAGACCAGCACGCGAAGTGACACAAAACCAAGGAGACTGCCCGAACTCGAAGACCCTGGCGACAGACGCAGAGATCGGAGATAAAAGACTCAGGACAACAGTCTCGGCCCAGTGTCTTCCATCATCAAAGGCCGCGGCCAAGTACCTCCCACACCCATAAAGGACCCCCTGCCTTCAACGTAACCATCCAGGAGCCCCGTAAAAAAGAACCCTTCAAGGAGCACTTCATATCTCTAAGCCCATAGGACTTAAGGAAACCACCGCTTGAGCTCGCGTGCCAGCTCGTCTGTAGGGCAGTTTGGCAAAGCCGAGAAAGAAAGCCGCACCGACACGGCCGATTTCTCAGGCTACACACACTACGAAGTCTAGCTTCACTTGGGGCGCTACAAAGCCATCCCCCCTAATTGGCCCTAATTGGTGCTGACATGTGCAGCAATCCAAAAGTCAAAGTTAAAACCTGGGTTGGACTCTCGTCTATAAGAGGCCAGAGAGCTACATGCAAATACCAACTCCCCCGCGCCTGTTGCGGTCATGCAAGGGATGTTCCCGTGTGAAACCTGCTAAGAGCCCATGGCCACTGCTGATGGGCTCTCACTGTGTAGGCTTAAGGCTTAATTAGTAACTATCATTCTCTAGGGCCGCGCCAGCCCAGGTCAAAATTCCAGAGCATGCACCCGGCATGTTGCCGCCGCTCCTGCAGGGATTTCAAAGGTCTCCGGTCTTCCCCCGAGTGACTTCAGCATGACGGGCTGCAGGCGGTTGGGCTGTCTCCTTGACATGCTTCGGAGCCCTTGAAGCTCAGAAGGGTCCGCAGTTGATCTGGAAGGACCCCACGCAAACGTCCTCTTCCTAGGTCTTGTCTTGAGCTTCACTGCCATCAAAAGCCATAAGAAAAGCTACAGTACCGTTTGCAAGCCCAGCTTCGTAGCTTTCGAGGCTCTCTGGCGTCCAACCCATCTGCGACAGCGGCTTTGCCAAGCCCAGCCTGGAGATGCGCCACCCCTCTCCGTGAGTCTTGCGAAAGGCTCCGAAAATCTTCGCCCCTGTCGGTCGTATGCTCAGATTGAGGCTTCCAAGCATATGGCATGAAGCACGGGACATGGCTTGAGGACTGGCATTACAAACGCTTTCTCTCGCACATGAGTGTGATCCGCCGGTGTGGTGCTCGTGGAGACAAGCCTGATGAGGTTCACCAGGCTCCAGTCCCACCACTCGAAATCCACCCAGTCAGTGTCCTGTTGCAGAAGTGCTGAAAGGTGCCACAGTGCGGACTTGGGGATTGTTGAAGGTGCGGAGGTGCTGTGCAGCACGAGGTGCTGAGAGCGAGATGGCCCAAGCCCACCAATCAATGCAACCCATGCAATCCGGAGCCGTCGTTGACGTCCGAAACCCAGACTTTGCAATTTTGGAATCTGGAAGCGTCCTCTTCGCAGCAGCAGACGGCAGGATCAGCATTCCAGTTGTGGCCCATGCCTGAGCTTCATTGCATCTGGCCGGGCCCGCTAATGATGAACCCAAAACTGTAACTAGTGGCTCAGCGTTCAAGAGGACCACAGCTTACTACCGGTTGAGTCCCACGCCTACGAGACGCGCAGGAGCCGGTCGCTACCCTGGCTAACAATAGTCAGAGGACGAGTGAGAACAATGAACGTCGATGAACGAGGTCTCGAACACGAACCAAAGTCTCAATTGTGATCATGATGATTATAATGACGAATATGAACACGAGGATGATGATGGTGATGCATGGCGATGGTGCTGGTGCTGGCGTTGGTGCTGGTGATGACAATGATGCTGATGACAATGGTGATGATGATGGTGGTGACGATTCTGACGCTGGCTGGTGCTGCTGCTGTTGCTGAAGACGGTCATGGTGTGATGGTGTGATGGTGCGATTTATGGGATGGTGTGATGGTGTGATGGTGTGGTGGTGTGGTGGTGTGGTGGTGTGATGGTGATGCTCTTGGTGATGGCTTCGTCAAGCTGCGACCGGCCCAGTAGTAGTCCCCAAAGAAGGAGGACTCGTCGTTTGCCGCCAGGCCCCGGTAGTGTAGGTAGTTCCGGAGGAAGGAGAACCTAAGCCAGTCACTAGCCACGCCTGCAAACTATGGCCCCCAGAATCGGCTTCTGAATTCCTAGAATGCTGGCAGGAGTGGCCAAGAAGCTTCTGCGCCCTCCACATGACCTGGGCCTGCTTGGGATTCGGCAGCTTCGTGGGATTGTTGCAGTTCCGGGCCACCTGCGCACGGAGCTGTTCTTGCACCAACAACGAGATGTATAGAGGACCCGTATACACCGCCTGTAGCCCAGCGCTCCACTCTCCGATGTAGAGCCTGTACCTTGGCTGGGCTCTGCGCAACGGACGCCCCAGTGTTACTGCCAAGGACCTTCTCAACATTGGGGCGTATGTCGGTATGTCGCACCACATGTCCGGGCATACAGGAGTTGCCTTCCGACTTTGACCATCCAGAGACCCTAAATTTGGCTTCAGAAATCACAAGCAACTGTTGATCTCGTGTTCAGACCGGAGACCCCTTGTCCAGGAGCCCCATCTTCATGAAGCCCGCCCAGGTGTGCTGCTCGTACTGATGCGTGGTGTTGGGCACGTTGGCCTCCAAGGGCTTGCTGTCGCAAGTGACACCCTTCTTTCAAAGGCTTCTCGAGGTTTCAGCCAGGGGATGGGTTCAACCGATTTGGTACGGAGCTGTGCCCTGAAGGCACCCGCCACCAGGCCTCACACACGCAGGGCACGGAGATATGACTTTCGTCATCGCCGTAGACGTTGCACATGGCCGGCCAGTTGAAATAGTGATGGATGTCTAGCAACCAGCGATCCTGAGTTGGGCCAACACTGTGTCCGTGGACCAACATCTTATGCTCCGGAGCACTGAAGCCCACGAACCTCCGATCCATATTGCCTCCCCTTGCCCTTTCACTTTCGGTGCCAATGCGCCTTCAGTGGTGAGTAAGGGCCAAGGAGGTCCTTGGAGATCGCGGTGGCGTTGTAATTCTCCGTGCCATCGTTGATGCCGAAGCCCACCTCAAGAGTCACCGCAACCCTGGGCCCCAGCGGGTACTTCCATTCTCAAAGAAGCCTAGCACCCATGCTGCAGGCAGCCCAGCAGCGTCGTCCAGAAATTGCGACATAACGGTCGCCAGCCCCACGGTGGCAGACCGAACTGCCTGCTGCTTTGCATCGTGCTGCAGCAGATCCGGCTCCTCAGCCGCGGCGCGGTTTTTGGGCGTTTCATGTCACGCCATGGCAAATGCCGACGACGCTTGCTAGAGTGATTCACATCGAGGCCGAGGAGCATTGATGACCTCGTAGGCCATAATGGCCCCGGGCATCTGATCGTTGATGAACCTCAGGCAGCAACAAGATCCACCCAACCGTCTATAGAGCCGAATGGAAGAAACGAGCGGATAGCAAGCCCGTTCCAAGAAGGCCTCTCATTGAAAGCTACAACCTTCACTAAGTGCGAGACTTGATGTAGGGGACCACACGGTCCAGGGCGATTTTCCAGTAGACATCTGCCCAGGTCTTTCCATCCTGCCCAAGGCAACCAGAAGCAACTCCGGCAGCCAGAGTCGTGACGACACATCGAGGCCCCTCTATCACCAGGCTCTACATCACTATAGTATGCTACACTATACTTTTAATTATACTCTACTATAACATAACATGCTGTACTATAACAGGCTGTCCCTGCGCCCATAACTCGAAGAAGCCCTGCGAGTCCGGCAAACGTTAGACCCCAAGCCTCCCCCCCAGGCCTTTTCCCGCGTGGTTGGGTAGGGGCTGCCCCCTGCGTTCGAGATGCCGTCTTCTGCCAGTCCTTCACGCTTCTGTCAGGCTGTCATGGCAACCACTGTAGTGATGAAATAGATGAAGCCAAGATCTACAATTGAGGAGGGACATCTTGCAGATACTGCGATATGCGCATTGGCCGATTGAGGGCTTGGCGCTCATATTTAAAAAGTTGCCCACGATGGTTCTGGCATGATACCCTGCCGATCCCGTACATTCTTGGTTGCCTTCTCTTTAGAATCCTGAGCCTACTGTTCAACAAAGGTCCTACAAGAATCCACGGTCCAATGTCCAGTTGGATTTGCGAGTCCCGCCTTCCCAGAAGTTTGGCGCTTCTGGGGCGCACTCGATGCCGGCGTAGGACTGGAAGGGCGTGCTGCAGCCAGGGAGAGCGTGCATGTCGAGCATCACCTGCAGAACACCCCAAGCGCAAGTGAAATCCAAGCCGTTCCTGCTCGGTAACCGCATGGTCTCGAAGCATTCGCTTACAAGGGCCGAAGGCTAAGAGCTCAGAAGCTCAGAAGCCTTCATGTTTCTGTTCCACAGCTTCACGATGACGTTGCTCAAGGCGAGGGTGCCGGGCGTCACGAAGCCTTGCTGGCTGCCACGAAACCCTTTTGCCAGGAGCTGAAAGCTACCTCAAAGCTCCTAGCCGGGAGGCCCTCAGGATTCACGCCATAAGGTCGGTCCCCGGTGGTCAGTGGCACAGGCCAGACGTCCAGCGGGTACAGCTCGAGGTCATCAAAATACCAGTACCTGCACGCGCCAAGTTTCACTGCCTGGAGCTGTTCTGCAGCTGGGCCGATGGCTAGACGCACACGAGCCAAGTCAAAGCAACACGAGGCCTCGGAAAACACGAATCTAACCGCGTAAGCCCAAAAAGAAAATCTTCTCTGAGAGAGCCGAGGTACCCTACTGGGACACGGACAGAGTTGATCCCAAACTCTGCGAACTTGTCCAGCAGCTCATCGTTGTAGTACTCTTCCAAGTGGCACCACATAGCATCAGAAGCTAGTCCAGCATCTCCTGTTCCTACACTCTTCCTCCTCTTATGACGCAGGTTCCGTCTGTCTTCATCATCGCCTTCCTCCACTTCCTCCGGCTCCGATGTCCTGTTCAACAGGGCGATCGACCACATGTTGTTGTTGAACCTTGGCTGACATCGCGCCCAGGCCGGCTAGGACCGCTAGGATGCTAGACGGCAAATGGCCCGCATCACACTCATGTAAATGCGCCACTGACATCTGAAGCTCAGGCCGGAATGCCTCGGAATCTTGGAATAGTCCATCTGAAGGAAGGCGTCATCGAAGGGGGGCTTGCTCCGCATGAACCTGTTTCTTGCAGCAAAAGGCTTGGGGCCGGGCTTTGGGCTGCACACGTGAATATCTGCAGCCTGCTCTCCGCTTGCACGGAGAAAGGTTCCATTCTGACTCTAGCATTTCTGTACACAGGCAATTTACATTGCATGCAAGCGCGTCCATTGCCAACTATGATGATATGTGTATGCTTTTTTGTATACCGTATATATATATATACCAGTTACTACGATCGCAGACGTTCGATACCCTCACTGAACAGACTATCGGCGATCGCACCTTTTTCCTGCGACCGCAACGTGGGAGTCGGCCACAGTCGGATCATCAAAATTTCACTTGATCTTCACAAGTCCGATCGGACCCCCGATCGCCGAGGGGTGCGCCATGGCATTCGCCACAGACCGCAACATCATCCGATCGGACACATCAGACAAGCGATATTCCCCGCGAACAAAATTAAAAGTCTTCGATCGGATCATCGGGCTCCGGCGACGGCTCCTCGATCGGATCGTCGTCGAGGGGGGCCGCGCCGAGCAAGTCGATCAACTGCCGCTCGACAGCACGAAAAGCTGCATCAGGAGTAGCTTTGGCTTTCGTCCGAGCGGGAGTAGCGCGAGAAGCCTGGTACGCCGCGATCTGGGCGGGAGTCGGCGGCGCTTTGGTCGGCGGACTCGAGCTCCTCGTAGGCACCATGATCTCGGTGCCGGGAGGGAGCTGCGTACCGGGCGGGAGCTGATCCAGCCGCCGCGGGGGCTGCCCCGGAATGACATAGTGAGCCGGTCCGCTGATGTGAACGTCAGCGGGCACGGCGTCGAGCGATCTGGGGGGCTGCCCTGGAACTATGTACTGAGCAGGCTCGGCGAACAAAGGAGAACGCCCTTTCGGAGCCGCTCGGCCTTGGCGTGGAGGACCAGCCTGGGGATCCACGTAGTAGACCGGCTGATCCATGCCTCTGTTGCGATGAGCTTTGGCCGGGGGCGCTTTGGGCACCGGCCGCTGAACAGAGGGCACGCCCATCACTTGATCCCAGTTGAGGGGAGGATCTGCCCCGTGATCGTAGCCGGCCGGCTGGTGACGATCGCGATCACGATGAGCCGGCGGCGTGACCCAGGGGGTCTTTCGGCAGAAATGACACATATCCAGGCGACGATCGCAAGCCGTGCACAAAGGAGTGCGCTGGTTGGGAGCCCACTCTTCGCGGGGGACCCGAACGGCTGCGTAACATTCGTCTTGGCCGTCCCCGTCGCAGAAGCAGCCGGTGAACAGGCCGCAATCCACGCAGGGACGGCAGAGCTGATCTGTGTCGCCGAAAGCGAGCGCTTGAAGGCCAACGTCGTTGCGAGGATCCCGCATACCGAAAAGAACAGATAGGGTGGAGAGGGTGGGATTTTTCGGTATGGCCCGATCGGCTATCGCCAAAATGGCCACGGAGAAAATAGATCAAGTCTGTTCCAACGATCGCGAAACTGATCTCCTAATTCCTACCCACCAGACCGATAATTAGGAGACCAGTTACTACGATCGCAGACGTTCGATACCCTCACTGAACAGACTATCGGCGATCGCACCTTTTTCCTGCGACCGCAACGTGGGAGTCGGCCACAGTCGGATCATCAAAATTTCACTTGATCTTCACAAGTCCGATCGGACCCCCGATCGCCGAGGGGTGCGCCATGGCATTCGCCACAGACCGCAACATCATCCGATCGGACACATCAGACAAGCGATATTCCCAGGCCCTCAAACTCCTTTCGGAAAGTCCGAGAGGACCGTGATCCAACCACACATCAGACCTGTAGCGACATCACCACGAGAGGGATTATCCGCCGGGTTCGAATCGGTCGGTACCCGATCGATATAAACAGAGCACCTAAGCTCCAGAACAAGCTCCCAGAAAATTCCTACGAGCTCGCAGACGTCCTCTTTTGCAGAGTAGCCTTTGATCAAAGCTGCCTCTACAGGCTCGGAATCGATAAAGAGGAGGACCAGCTTTCCACGGATCTCTTCCCTGAAAGTCTGTATCGCAGCGACCGCGGCCAAAAGTTCGATCATGCAAATTTGGGTTTTCCGGGGGAACCACCTCGACATGATCTGCCGTGACACCCCCGAGGCGAATTGCCTAGGCTGATCGTCCCTAGTGAACATCACTCCTCCAATCATCTCAGAAGAGGGATCCTTGGGGTTCGAGCTCGGCGCCGATCCATCCGTGAAGATCACCACGTCGGACTTCCGCGGCCCCGAACTGGGGATAGGCCTCGGAGGCCCATGCATCACGAGCGTCCGCCACTTGTAGAGGGAGTAGAGGAGAGCAGGCGATAGGCTCGTACTGACCGTCTTCCGGGAGTATTGCCTCTCCGACAGAGATCTCAGGAAGGCTCGGCCGATCTTCCCCCAGAGCTGCGAAGCGCCGAACATCAGCTTTCCTCTGAGCTTCCCGGCTTGGCCGGGAGACATCTCTTCGTGTTCCAGGATCGACGAGATCTCATCGAAGAGCTCCTGCTTCCTGGACTTCTTGATCTTGAGCAAGTACTGATCGAGGTCATAGGTCACGCCCAGGATCGTGGGATCCGAGCAGAGCTGGAGCTTCTGCTGATCGAACCGGGCCCCGAGCCACCAATGGACTTTCTCGGCCAGCGCGAACGCACTATCTGCCGTGGCCTCCGGCTCGAAGCCGTACTTGTCGTCATAGAAGTTGAAGCCGGCCACGATGAACACGCGCCTTAGAATGTCGGTAATCGCAGCCGAGCGGCGGTTGTAGTTATAGACGGCCGAGACCAAGCCGAAGGAGTGGCCGACCATCACGAAGAACGCCACCTTTCCCGTGGCCGGATCCTTCAGAGCGACCACACTCCACTTGCGATGGGCCGGAGAGATCGGCACCTGCCGATAGGCTCGCCGCTCGTCCAGGACCCAACCACGTAGCGGGGACTTCGGCAGCCGCGAGCGCAGCCACTTGATCACCGCCACGTTCGCGTCCGTCGAGGGGAGTTCGAGTTTCTCGGTGACGATCGTCGCCATGTTGATCCCATTTGAGGTAGCACTGTCAACTCCCCTGACTTTGTTCTTTTGAACCACTTCAAAGCGCTGAGTAGGGATCCAATGATCATCGCCGACGAACTCCGAGACTTCGGCCTCGTCGAAGAAGGGACCGATCGCCGACCCTTCTCGAACATCTTCCATGGTCCCTTCCCAGACCTTGGGAGAGTGCTCGGTGATCGGAGATTTCCGAATCGCGCCTAACACCTTCGATCGAAATTCCCAGGCCCTCGAGCGAAGGGCATCAACCGAGAGATGCTCCGCATGAGGTTTGCGATCGGGCTTCCATCGGTGGGAGGAGGCAATATCGCCGACGATCGGCATGCCCGCCATGATCTGATCTACCAGGTCAGTGTCACTGCATTTGGCCTCATTCATGAGCTCCCGCCAAAGGGCGACGTGGAAAAACTGACCCATTTCCAGTGGACGACCGTCTGGGCCGCCGCGAAGAAGACGGCGCAGATGCCGATCTGGTATCTGCTTGAGCAAGGAGTCAGAGGACGGGAGCAAATCTTGAGCTCGCTGTTCCCAATGCTGCAGAAGAGAGGCTCGACGATCGCGCACTTGAGCAGGATCACGAACAATTTGCTCCAGAACATCAAGGAGGTCTGGGTCGATATCCGCGTCCTTTGTGAACGGGTGCGTAGCTTCCAAGGCGAAAGCGATCGCTTCACCCGGGTGCATCTCCGTGCCGATCAGCGGAGCCACGACAGACTTCTTCATCTGGTAACCCGCGGCGACGGCCTTCTTGCCGGCCGATCGTTGGCGATGTTCCGCGGCTTTGACCGGGGCGCCATGGGGCCGCTTCCGATCGGAGTCCGGGGTCTCGAGCGCAAAAGTGAGAGTTTGCCAGGACCGATCCACGTGATCACCTGTGTTCACCGGCGCCGGCTGGAAGCCCAACTGAAGGAGTTGTTCGAACTCGTCGGCAGGGATCCGATCGACCCCCTGCACCGAGTACACGGCGAGGACCACCCGAGTTCCGATCCAGGGCAGGGTCGCGTGCAGAGCTTCCTTAGCGTTGAAGAGGATCTTATTGTCGACGAAGTCGGTGAGGAAACCGGGGATGGAGCGTCCCTCGATTTCTCTTACATCGGGCCCGAGCGGGTCTTCGATCCAGAGCCCGCCTCCTTCAAACGACCCGAGCTTGAAGACAATGTTCGGGATCGGCTCATTGCCCGAGTCACGGTGAGGTTCGGCCTCCCAGCCCGGGCTGTTCGACATCATAGCAAGCATCACTTAACAAAAGAACCATCGATTAGCTTATTCGATGGTTAAATCTTGGTTTTTCACTTCTCGATATTGGATCGATGAAAAATATCGCAGAACATGCACGTCCTGGAACTTTGCCGTCACGTATACAACATGCTCCGGAAATTGCGATGGAGCTGCTGATCTGGCGCAGAATTTTGTTGAGTGGAGTGAAAATTCACAGTTTTCGGTGTAAACGTGGATCAAAAGTTGTCGTGCCTACAGCAACCTTGTTGTAGTTCTGTGTTGCCCTATATGTTTCCTGCTAAAAAATGTTGTTGTGGTCGTCGTGGTCGTAGTCGAAGTTCGCAGTCGTGGTCGTCGTTGTCGTCGTCATTGTCGTCATCGTTTGTGCTCTGGTGTGTGGTCGCGGCTTGGTCTGTAGATTTTGTATCATGTGTTTGTTATATGTGTGTGTTTGTATGTATATGCATGTGTATATATATATATATATAGATATATATGTATATGTACATATATATATTTATATGTTCACACACCACCACCACCACCACCACACACACACACACACACACACACACACACACACACCAGAGGGCAAGAGCAAGAGAGAGAGGCAGAGAGTGAGAGAGAGGCAGAGAGAGAGAGCGGGAGACTGCGACAGCGGCACAAAGCTCTCCGGTGCAATCGCTCCGAGGGATTTTTTATCGCCACCGAAGGCAAGCCTGCAATGCATACTTCATGCATGCGTGTTTCGCAAGAT